GAATGAGGAACAAGTCCAGGGTGCCACCCAGGGTAGATATATTACATCCCATCTTTGATACTATGCTAAGCTGATGCTTCTCTCAGACTCTAGACTACCACAAAAAAAGAAAACCCTGATTCCAGTTTAGTCCTGCAACCCTGATCCACTGAACTGTGCTCTTCTCAAAATGTGCAAGTTGTCCTCACCCTAAAGACTCTGATAATTACTGGCTTCAGTGGAAGGAAATACACTCCAAGATAATAATTCCCAGGCTGAAATCAAGCTCTGCTATTTTCAGGCCACTGCTAACATGTCCAGAGCAGATTTATTAAAGCCATGAGTGACCCCCTGCCAGAAATTAAGGGTATTTCTTGTGAATAAGCAACTTTGGTGTTTATTCCTCCCACCTCTTCATCTGCTGAGCTGCACCAGAGAAGCAACTTGTCAGGCTAATTATTCACAGAGATTTTAAGCTGCATATTTTCTCTCTGGACTAATCTAACCCAGATATGGGAAAGGCATGGTTTTAATCAACCCTTCCATACATCCCATGATACTTGGTCACATGTGCATGTGTAGGGATGTGCATTATGTGCATCTCCCAGTAAAACAACCACATTGTACACCAGTAACAGGCTCCCTGTCACATGCTGTTCTGTTTGCCCTCTTGTTACAGGATGTTAGTGCTGCCTACAAACAAACCAGTTCTGAAATTAAACATGGAAATACTCTGAAGGACTACAGAGCACTTTTTTCACAGCTACAAATTTTTTCACAAAAGTAGTGGACTGACCATGACCCTCATATATTAGGTGAAAAGGCAAGATTAAAAGCTATATATTGTCTCTATAGTGTTCAATAAGATCTTGGGAAACAGAGTGAAATCAGCCTTCCTTCCAGCATATGGAAATTCATTTAAAAGGGACACTCCATCAGAGCCCACAACAGAAGCCTCAGTGCAGCCAGTGCTCCAGAGCAATTCAAGGTGTTTTTTTCCTGAAGCAAGTGACAGAGCTAGGCTCCAGGGAGGGCAGAGCCTGCACAGACTGCAGAATCACTTACCAGCACAGGATATGAGAGAAACAGCTGCTCTTGTCCCTGGTGACACTTCAGGTCAGCTGCTGTGCTCTCTGCAGTGGCAGAGGCAGGTTTGCTCCCAGGCTGAACACCTTTCCTTCTCTTCATCCTCACACAGCATTATTTGTAGTTTGGCTTTAGCTACGGGGATTGAAAGATGAAGTAGGAGTATCTTACTCTAAGAGAGGAATGAAGTAGATGCTGGATGGAAAGCAGGACTTCTACAAATTAATTGAATAAAGCACTGCCTCAGCATACACTGACCCTGCTTGAGTGCAGGACTGGGAATATAAGGCAAAGCTCCACCCAATTTAGGGAAGATTAAAAAATCATCACATTTTGACACCACAGTCTCTGATTCTAAATTGCATGGGATGTTCAGGTGAAAGGAATGACAGGGATGTGTCCTTACAAACAAACTGTGGGCCTGCTGGTAAAGCCAGATACTGAGAGGTGAAAGAAGCAGTGGGAGGGACCATAAATTCCAGAGGAATTCCACTAATTGACTCAGACTGTCACTCAAGGCTGTGCTAAATTCCTGGACTTAGAGAAAAAGAACAGAGATAGAAACAAAAGGCAGGTCTGCATTAGGTGATTTGGGAAGTCTGTACCTCTCAAGTACCTCAGCCAATGGGAGAGGGAAATGTGGCCAGGAAAGTGGGATAAGGAGGAGGCTGCATCCTCCAGCAATTCAAGAGACACCATGGGAAATGCCCCATGGCCTCTCCCTTTGCTCAAATAAAGTTACAGGACTTCTCTGTCTCCTTTTGGACATAAACTTTTGACACCATGGATTAATTTTCCTGACACAGGGACTCTCCAACAGAGACCTAATCAGACAAGATGTAAAATAACAAACCTTGCTCTCTTCCAAAGGCTTTGAGAGTGAGGACAGGAGGACAGTAGTAAACATGATTAACTCAGAAGTTTGATTTTCTTGGCTTTTTTGTGCAGCAGATTTTCCTTCTCACATTAACTGATATTCACGGAGTACTTAAACAAAAAAAAATAATTCAAAGCCCAATAATTAAATAGGATTGACAACATGCTTGATAGGATTTGCTGATTCAGTGATGGTGCTCACCTTGCATTAACTCAGAAGTTCGGTTTTCTTGGCTTTTTGTGCAGATTTTCCTTCTCAGATTAACTGACATTCACCGAGTACTTAAAAAATAAAATCCAAAGCCCAATAATTCAATAGGATTGACAACGTGCTTGACAGGATTTGCTGATTCAGTGATGGTGCTCACCTTGCTGTACTCACTGTGACCACCACAAGCAGAGCTGTAGCGTGTCTGGAAAACACAGGAACCAGGCAACAGCGTGGATGAGGATGGAAGCACCCAGCTACAATCTCCAAAATGCATCACAGTGATGTTTCCAAATGGGAACAGCCATGTTGCTGCTTAAGTAATTTTTATTTATTTAACTCAGCACCCTCTTTGAAAGTCCTGCAGCTGCACAGCAGCTCCTGCAGTGCCCTGCATGCAGCAGGTGGGTGGGATGGCAGCAGGAGCTGCTGTGTGCCTGGCGTGGGCTGAGGGGCTGCATTCAGGGCTCTGTCACCCTGTGCTGTGCCCAGGCATTGTGGAGAAGAGTTCTTCCCACTCTCCCCATGGGCCAGAGGGCTGGGAGCAGGAGGGAGGAATCCCCAGGGGTTAGGATGGAGGAGAGCCTGGGCGCAGGATGCAGCAGAAACTGGAATCAGGAGGGAGGAGAGCCTGGAGCAGCTCAGCCACACTGGGGGGCAGTGGCCACTTTGAGGGCACTGGGAGCGGAGCCAGTACTGCACCCACAGCTCAGCCTGGCCTGCAGCCCTGCAGAAACTGTAAAGTTCTGCAATCTGCCTGCTCTGGGGCTTTTTACCCCCTTGCTGTACCTGTGTGATGGTTCCTGTGTGATGGTTCCTGTGTGGCATTCACATTTTCTGAAAAAAAATACAACATTCCTGGGGCTCTTCCATCAGGCAAGCACTGCAGTCCACACTCCACTTCCTTTGCAGCTGAGCAACACGACTTTGCACAAACCAAACTTTTAGAACATACCTGGACTTTGTGTTTACATAAGGTAATAAAACTGGAGGAACAAAAAACATTACAAATTGAAGCAAAGTCACATCCCAAGTGGAAGTCTGAAAACACTGTGCTGAGGGCTGTGTGCTTCTGCAGAAGAATGAGCTACGTAGTGAATTTTTGGAAGTTTAATGCAGGATCACATCAAAAATGGGCACAAAATGGGCAGGAAAGGATTTCCTGGGGAAGAAGCAAGAAAATAACATACAACTACATCAAATTAGTAAGACTATAATTTAAATAAAGTCACTTTAAAACACCAGTGGACTAGTCTGGCTTGTCACAAAGCCCTCAAAGATGTGGCAAAGCAGTAAATGCAGCTTTAGAGCAACAGAGCATTTCAGTGTGCTCCAGGCCACAAAACACATGTGAGAGACACTGCTCAAAGCTACTGAAATAATTTGTATTCTGTAACTCATTGGTCATGTCATTTGTACCCTCAGCACAAGTGAGTCTGGGTGGTGCTGCAGAGGCTCAGTCACTGCAATCACTGTGATGGGGTAAAAGCAGTGCCAGAGTTTGTAAAAGGCTCTTCAGTTAATGAAGGGATTATGAAAAATGCCTCTTGCCTCTTCCAAGGAGCCCATCATGCCACCCTCATCTTTCATGTGTTAATGAGAAATGCTCAATTCCTGTGGAAAAACAGCAATCTGGTGGCTTCCAGTTAGGGAAATATTTTCACTGTAACATCATGATGTGTGTGACTGTTACAAATGCTGCTCATTTTTCTCTTTCTGAGGTTTTAAAGTGCAGCCCCACGCTCTGCTCTGGCAATTTTTAATGCAGCTAATGTCAGTACTGGTTGCAACTGGATTAAAGGTGGCTGTTAATCACAAAGAAACGGAATGGGACAGGCCACCTTCAGAAGTGGTGGCCAGCAAAGGGTAAACTCCCAGCTGCCTGGGGATTTTCTACATCTTTAACAGGGTTTTGTGATTTCACAGCTCTTTTCATAGCAGAACTACAAGTGATGAGTGGTGACTGCTGACCCTGCCATTCCAGCACTCCTCTAAGGGACTTCAGTGGGTGCTTTGGGGTAAATAATGAGGTTTTTAACATTATTTAATGAGCTATTCACAGCTTAACAAATGGTTCTGTTATTTACCAAGTCAGCAGAAGTGCTTGTTACAGTCACCATCCCTGGAGGTCTTCAAGAAAAGACTGGACGTGGCACTTGGTGCTCTGGTCTAGCTGACATGGTGGAGATCAATCACAGCTTGGACTTGATGATCCTGGAGGTCTCTTCCAACCTAAATAATGCTGTGATCTGTGTAATTCTGAGAGAATACTGAGGATTTTGTACCTAGAGGATTCATATCCTTCTGCCAGCTTTCAGAACCAATCTTTCCCCTAAATTATACCTTTAATTTTAAATAAAAATTGGAGTGTTGCCGGATGTTGTTCTTTTTTCAACTTTCTTGGTATCTAGCACAATGGGAAACCTGTCCCAAGACTGCTGGTTATTGACCAAAACCTTTAAACATCATTATTATAATATTCCCAGATACTTCTGTCCTACTCATCATCATCATACTGTCAAACCACCCAACATCTCAACACTATTTTCTTATGAAAGGCAGCCCTAGTGTACTCAAGACAGTACTGGCAGCTAGAACACAACAGTCATTTGCTCCTTATAAGTAGAGCTGCTTCCCCTCTGCAGATTATACCAAAGAGAAGTGTTCTTTGATGTACCCCATTTTGATTTCCTTTAAACATGGGAAAGTAGAAAAACAAAGATAATTTCCAATATGTTGGCACCATCTGCAAAGAATTCTATTAAAGAACAAAAATTAAGTTTTTTTTTTTTTTTATATTTTCAAAGGTAGTATTAGCAATATGATGTTGGTTCAGAAGTCAGGTAAGGTCTGTGTTGGCAACTACAATTCTTTTATTGGACATATGTTACTGAGCATTGAACACATGTTTATGTAGGCATGGATTTAAGAATAACACCACAAAATCAAAAGGCTAAACTGCAGACCTGTGCTGAGAAGCAGGCCTGGTGAGTCGTCTACTCCTATAACTCAGCTGAGAAAAGGGGAAAAAACTGCCATTATAAGAGAAGAAGCATAAATTTAGTTATAAGTTACAGAACTAGATAATATTTCCTTTAAGGCCCAAAGCACTGGAAAACCCAGGTTCCCTCTATACGTGCACATTGTGCTTGTTGCAGGAAATATTTAAAGTCAGACTCTGCCTCATGCAAGTGGTTTATCTGTAAGACAACTTAATAAAGCTGTACTGATTCAAACAGTTCTCTTAAAAATGTATTTCAGAATAAAAATGATACACTTAAACCCAGATAACAACTTACCCAACAGAGAGCAAGTTTCAGCAAACAGTGACCAAGAAAGAGTGAACAGGGAAAGCCAATGATGTTGGCCAGATTTCATTCCTGCTCGCATCAGAATTTTCTCCCGAAGAAGATTCAGGAGATAAAAAGGTAAATTGAATATATCTTCATCTCATAAGGGCAGTTTTCTACAGTTCTTAGCAACAGAAAAAAAAAAAATATACATTTCCAGAACTTGCACATATCCGAAAAGAAACAGGTGGCAAACAAAGAGGGAGAACAAAACCTAATAAAAGCTAACCCAATACTTTGTAGTAAACAATAGAATATAACGTGCAATAGTGCAATTTCTCCTTTGCTGCTCCGACAACGAAGTCTTGGTAGACAGTCCCCTGCGTGTCCCGGCGGCACGGCAGCATCCCTGCATCCATCCATGCATCCATCCACGCATCCTTGGTGCTCCTAGCTGCGGGCCGGGGCCGAGCGGGCACTGCCCGCCCTTGGGGCCGCGCTGGGGCCCGGCTCTGCCCGGCCCTTCCCGGGCAGCCGCAGCTTCTGATCCCAGCGCTGCGGGAAAACGCACTGCCGTCACCGAGGGGAACGGGGAGGGACCGCCGGAGCCGCGGGGAGCACGGGAATCATCACTGAGGGGCACGGGAATCATCACTGAGGGGCACGGGAATCATCACCAGAGCTACGGGAATCACTGAGGGGCACGGGAATCATCACTGAGGGGCACCAGAATAATCACCAGAGCTACGGGAATCACTGAGGGGCACGGGAATCACTGAAAGGCACAGGAATCACTGAAAGGCACAGGAATTACCAGAGCTACAGGAATCACTGAGAGGTTAAAGAAATCACCTGAGAGTTACAGGAATTACCAGAGTTACAGGAATCACCTGAGAGGCACAGGAATTAATCACCAGAGCAACAGGAATCACTGAGAGGTTACAAGAATCACCTGAGAGTTACAGGAATCACCTGAGAGGTTACAGGAATTACCTGAGAGGAACAGGAATTAATCACCAGAGCAACAGGAATCACTGAGAGGTTACAGGAATCACTGAGAGGCACAGGAATCACCAGAGAGTTACAGGAATCACTGAGAGGTTACAAGAATCACCTGAGAGTTACAGGAATTAGCAGAGTTACAGGAATCACCTGAGAGGCACAGAAATTACCTGAGAGGTTACAGGAAACACCAGAGTGGTTAAACAAATTACCAGAGAGTTACAGAAATCACCAGAGTTACAGAAATTACTTGAGATGCTACAGGAATTACCTGAGAGGCTACAGGAATTACCTGAGAGGTTACAGGAAACACCAGAGTGTTTAAACAAATTACCAGAGAGTTACAGAAATCACCAGAGTTACATAAATTACCTGAGAGGCTACAGGAATTACCTGAGAGGTTACAGGAATTACCAAAGAATTACAGAAATCACCAAAGTTACAGAAATTATCTGAGAGGTTACAGGAATCGCCAGATTTACAGAAATTACCAGACAGGTAGAGAAATTACCTGAGAGGTCACAGGAATTACCAAAGAGTTACAGAAATTACCTGAGAGGTTACAGGAATTATGAGAGGCACAGGAATTACCAGAGAGGTTAAACAAATTACCAGACAGTTAGAGAAATTACCAGAGAGTTACAGGAATCACCAGAGTTACAGGAATTAAATTACCTGAGAGGTTACAAGAATCACCAAAGTTACAGAAATTACCAGAGTTACAGAAATTACCTGAGAGGTTACAGGAATTATCAGAGTTACCCAAATTACCTGAGAGGCTACAGAAATCACCAGAGAGTCACAGAAATTACCTGAGAGTCACAGAAATTACCAGACAGGTACAGAAATTACCTGCGAGTTACAGAAATTACCAGAGAGGTTACAGAAATTACCTCTCTGGTAATTTACAGAAATTATCAGAGAGCCGTAGAAATTACCAGAGAGTTACACAAATTACCAGAGAGGTTATAGGAATTACCAGAGAGGTACAGAAATTACCAGAGTGGTTACACATCCACATGTTCACACGTTTCACACAGAAAATGTGTTCACAAACAGCAGCAAAAGCAGAGAAGTTGCTATTTCCACCATGTCACCCTGCACTGCGCTCAAGGGTGCAATGACAGCTGATTGGGGAAAGTCATTTAAACAGGGAAAGTGTTTCCTGGCTTTCCTGCAGCCTCTGTGAATGAAGGGTCTGATACAAGGCTTCAGCACAAGGGGGACTCACCTTCGAAATAATAAAATTTACATGAAGCTATTCATGCAGTCTCGGGGGGAAACAGGATGAAAAAACAGTTAAGGGGTTTTTGTTAATTCAAAAAAAGCATTATTATTTTTGCAGGCAATAGAAATCACAGTAAAAAAAAAAAGACATAATAAATATAGTTTGCACAAGTGTTGATGCTCTTGGAAAGGAGGATGATGATGATGAGAAGTGGGTGGTGAGGTGGCAGGGTCCTCAACACCCCCAGGCCAGGTGTGAGGGCAGAGGCAGCAGGTTACAGACAACAAGGAAGGGAGTGAGAAAGGAAGTGTGTTCCCCAAAAAAACTCCAACCAATCATGTTACCACTCAAGAGCTGAAACTGAGCAGAAATCAGCCCATGGCAGCAAAATGTTATTTTCTCTGTGGCACTGGATTTCCCAGGGTTCTGCCAAATCAAACAACAACTTGAAATAAGATCCCTGTATCTTTCACTCCACTGTATCTTTTCATCTCCACTGATGTGAGAAATGTGCACAGAAAAACTTGCTTTTATAAACACAAGAGTATTTTCCTGCCAGTGACCCTCACACTGATGAAGAGAAAGTGCTGAGTGGAGGAGAATACTGGTTTGCACAGGCAAAACCACTATGGCAAATGAATGGCTGAGAAATTGTGTCAAAATAAGAATATTCTGTGTAAAGTGACACTCCTGACAAGGTCAAAACCACTGATGCTTTGCAGTGCATCAAAACATAAAAAGGTAATCCTTCCAGAACCTGGAAGGCATTAGAAACATCTAAGTAAGAAAAAAACCAGAATATATTTTCATAGGGAGAGCTGGGGTTGCTCAGCCTGGAGAAGGGTTCAGGGAGATCTCAGAGGACCCTCCAATACCTAAAGGGGCTACAGGAGAGATGGGGAAGGACTTTTTGCAAGAGCATGTAATGGCAGGACAAGGGGTAATGGCTTTGAAGTGACAGAGATTATATTAGATTAGATTATATAAAATATAGGGAAGAAATTCATGGCTGTGAGGGTGGTGAGTCCCTGGCACAGGTTGCCCAGAGAAGCTGTGGCTGCCCCATCCCTGGGAGTGTCCAAGGCCAGGCTGGATGGAGCTTGGAGCAGCCTGGAATAGTGGAAGGTGGCCCTGCCCATGATTTAGTCTGAAAAACATTTGTAAAGCCCCCTGGTCTGTTTGGGGTTTTTTTCAGTTCATATCACAGCCCCATCTAAGCAGGCCTGTGCTGTGGAACACACAGCTTGCCCACAGAGTTAAAAGTCCTCTCCTATTTGCTTTTTTGAGACAGAGGTTTTGACTGCTGCTACACTGGGATACTTTGGGGTAATTCAATGTATCCCTTTTATTTACTCAGCATGCAGTTCCAAGTAATAAAGCAAATAAAACACCAAGTTAGTTTTTGATACACTATATTCATTAAGTGGCGGCAGCACACGAATTTTCTTCCCTTATTTTGAAAAGACAGGCAGATGTTTCACGGCACCCACAACATGTGACTTCAGGTGAGGCATTTTCTTACCTTTATCTTTTTACCAAGACGTTCCTTCCACTTCTCAGCTATGGAGCCTTCCACCAAGAGTAACCTACACAACAGAGACAACCCCATCAAGAGAGACACCCCAACACACACAAGACTAAGCTCTCTGTGCCTTGCCCTCCCTGAACACCACGAAGGAGATGTACAGAGAGGTTTTCCTTCCTTTTGGCTCTGACCTTCAGCCCTGTGGCAGGGGAACAGTGAAGGACAGCACAGCAGGAGTTACCTGGAGCGCTCCTCGTCCTCGTAGCCCATAATGATGTACTCCTCATTGGCACTGAGGGGGGGACACAGGCAGCCAGAATTCGTGTGGAGGTTTACAGTGTCCTTTGGAATGTTCACTAGGGAAGACTTCAGGATCTCCTTCACTTCCACCACTGCAGTGACATCGTGGCATTTGGTCTTCACCTCCTTCACTTTAGCCCGAATGACTGGGGAGAAGCCACAAAGAGCACTGTTAGAAGCAGCAGATCATGCAGGTCACGCCCAAGCTGTTCTTGGTGACCTCTGGGATTAGATTTTGCATGGTTCTTCTTCAGCTGAGCTCCTGCAATGTCTCTGCCTCCATCTCTTCCCTTCATTACTTCACCCTCCACCAAGGAGGTCCAGTGTGCCCCTTAATAATGTGGTCAGGAGCAGCAGTTCTGTACCAGCTGGATTTATGTCCTGTTTAAGCTGGGCTCTGACTTCCTTCCTTCCTTCCCGTCTTCTTCACCCTTTGCATGTTAAATATATTAAATCTACTTCTTGTATGCTCTCCCAGAGCTGTGGCTGTTCCCTCTCTGACTACCTGCAGTACAGATGAGCAAATTTTATCACTCTGAACCTCACACAACAAGGGAATGTGCATTAAAACCTCCCATATCACTGCTTCTGCTGGATGACAGGCCCTTACCTTTTTCATTCTCTCCAGTGACCCAGCACTAATCTGCTCTGCTCTTTCTGAACTTCCAATGCTCCTGATCTTGACCCAGTGACCTCTCTAATTGTTTCCTCTCTCGGCCTTTCCTTGTGCCTCAAGCTGCAGAGGAGGAAAGGTTACCTTTCAAAGGCAAAGCTTTCCATTCTCTCCTGCTGACCAGTGAACTGATACCACACACAAATGCAATGCCAGCCCAGAGGTCATGCTCTAGAGAATGCCACACCATTCAGAGAGTCCCTTTCCACACTATAAATAGGAGACACCCCAAATTCCAAATGTCTCCTGTGTGAAAAAGGTAATATGGAAGAAAGAAAACCATGGACTTGCAGATCTCCTCACTCCACATGTACTGCAGGCAGATTAAATACAGCTGCCAACAAACACCAACTTGTGCATCTACCATGCACAATTTACCCCGAGTGATTCCCTTTCTCAAAACCTTTTAAGATCTCAAAATAAAATATTGCTTTAGCTTGGAGATATTTCAAATGCCTTTTGAAACCTATTTAATTTCAAAAGCTTGAGAAAATGGACAGGAGCATGCTCAATGACTGCCATATGCAGTTTCTGACCAGAGAATAGTCACTCTAATTTTTTATAAACAAATCCACCAAAACAACATGCAGCTGACTAGTGACCAAAAAAGTGTTTGAATACAGTTGTAATTTTTTAGATTTTAACAGCAACTATTTTTAAAAGGAGATTGTCTGACTATGGCTTTATAAATGCATAATACTAATAAAAATGATACAATCATTACCATTTAAATAAAGCCTTAAAGCTGGCTGAACCTAAGGTTCCTCACCTGATTAATGGGGAAAAAGGAAGTGCTGCATATATTGATAAAGCCTTATAAAATAAAGCCTTGTTACCTTTGTAAAATCATTGCTCATGCCTGCTACTTTGGCTAAGTCGAAGAGGACTGTGGGAAAGTGACTCAGCTGAATTAGGGGTAGAAAAAGAAGTTTTATAACCATGGTGTGTTCAGATTTTGGGGTATGGTTGGATTATGTTTGTTATGATTTAAAACTGTGTAACTGATAAAGGCTTAACTGCTTAAAAGGGGCTGGGTTTTGCAATAAGGAAGGGCCCAATTGTCCAGCCCCTGTGATATGTATTCAGTGGCTTCATTGGCCTAATTTGCTTGAAACAAGCAGTATGAAGAAAAATATGAGCCTGGAGCTGTGAAATGCCTGAAGAGCAGGACATGTGCCTTTTACAGGTGTTACTGACAGCATCACACAGCTGGCAAGATGCTCATTGCTGGCTTTGATACACCAGAAGGAAAAGAACCTGATTGATCTCAGGGAGAGCTAGTGGGCACGAAAGCCACTACAAACATCCCCTTCTGCAAAAGCTGAGCATGCTGGAAATCACAGAGGCAGCTCAGGCACACAGTGCCATTTTTCTTGCATCACTGTTCACACCTGAGAAGTGCACAAACCCCAAATGCCTGCACTAAAACTGAAATAACAAAGATACCCTTGTACACATCAAGCTAATCCCCTCCATCCTTCTAAACTGGAAATGTTTCAGCTACACCTTCCTCCTCCAACAAGTAATATTGGGTTACCAGGAATAACAGTGAACTTTTTAGGCTTTTTAAATGGAAGTTTCCCCTCCCTGCAGGCTGGGAAGGGCTGGGAGCTGGCCCTGCAGCTGCTCTCACCGTAGTTGTAGTTGTTGCGCAGGTAGGTCTTCTGCGTGGCTTTCACAGGCTTGCACTTGCAGCGGTCTGCACAAACACAAAGCTTCGTTTAGAAAGAAAAGGGCAGGCACTCGGTGACAGTCTTCCCAAAATCTGCAGCTCACACAGCGTGGGAATTGGAGTCACAGAAAATAAATCCAACCAATGAATGTGATGCTTTTGTTCATTGATTGCCGCGTACGGTGAAATATACAAGTTACCATTATTAACGTAATTATTATACTAATTAATGCATACAAATTTATGTTGTAAAGCTTTTTTAGCTAAGGTGTAAAGCTTTATCTTTTAAATAAGTCATCTAACTATGATCTACCATCTGTTTTATTTAATTTGATCATAGTTAGATCCTGTTAAGCCAAGAAACAGTGTTTTGTAATTAGGAAATAGCTGGCTTCTGATTGTGATGGCATGAATTATAACACCTGTATTGTCTCACCCTTCTCATGAAACTGAAAATGGAACACAGGTTTTTAAAACACCTCTCAGCTACCCCGTCTCTAAGTCAGAAGAGGGTTAAATCTGACAACACCTAACAAAAATTTCACCGAAGTGATTTGCTTATTACAGTGAAACACTAAAAACCACAGGGCATTCCTGGCCTGTTCTGCTGGGAGATGTGGAACTGTCCATGAGACCTTAAATGTTTTTTAGGAGAAAAACCTGTCATTCTAAAATTTAAAAAAAAAAACCAAAACAAACCCAAACCACAGCACAACAACAAAGACACACAGACTTTGAGTCTGGAGTGACAAAACCATCATTTTCAGCCAGTTCAATGTTCAATCCTGTGCTTGCAGGTGCTGCAATTCCACCCTTGCAATGCTGCTCTCTCTTCAGTGCTAGACTTAAGGAATGCCCTCCTTTCTGTTCCTTTTATCATACACCATAACAGAGCCACAGAAAGGAAACACCGTGGCAGTGCATGACTGAACATTTTTTGATTATGTATTTTAAGTCAGTTTAGCAAACTGGGATATTCTGGCTAGCAGGCATTCATGAAATATTTGGCACTGGAAGGGACCTTTAAAGGCCACCTATTCCAACCCCCTTGCAAATAAGCAGGGACATCTTCAAGTGGATCAGGTTGCTGAGAGGTCCATCCAATCCACCATGAGGAGTTGTGTAAATTTTACATGATTTTATCATGACCCAGAAGGCCAAGTTTAATGAAAACAGGGAAATTCTTAGCCCTTGTGGCCAGAAAGATAGTCTTATGAGCACTGTCAGAGCAGCATTTCCAAAGGTGCAGATGCCAGACAGTTGGGAACTCTAAGAGAGGTAAAACCATTTTCATTAGTGCCCAGGGAATGCTAATGCTGAAGCTCCAGACCCACAGTGGTGTTCATTAACACCACTGGTATTTCAGAGCTGCTTGTGCTACTGCAAATATTTACTTATTTTACACCAGTGTCTAAGTGTGGCTCGCTGGAGTAATTTCAAACAGCAGATCCCAGTGCTCCATGTGCATGGGCATCTATTTTGACACTTGATTTGGCATAAATGGAAGTGGATTTAATGCAGCTTATTTCTATTCACCATCACCCTAAGTATCAATGCATATAAGCCAGTGATTCAGTTAAATCCAACATGAAGAGTCTGAAAAAGAACTTTTATTTGATTATATAAGATTCCTGCATATTAAAAAAAAAAATTAAAATTGATGTAATAATTATTTTCCATTTGAATAATTTTTGTAGTTGAAAATACAAAAAAAAATACAGGAAAGAGGAAAACATGTCAAAAGAAAAGTATATTATTTCCTTGAATTTCAAACACATCCTCAGGAATCTATATATAGTCCTACAGACTTTAACTTTTCTATGTGTTTGTGTTAAAATAACAAAAGCAGAGAAGGGAAGTGATTTTTGGCTCCCCTTCTGCCTTTGTGAGCTCATGGATACTGAGGGCCAAATCAGAGCTGCCTTGGAGCAGAGAATAAAAGATGTGCTCCTGTGACCCACGTTCACACAGGCACCTCACATTTCCATCACTTTTAAGGCAGTATTGGCTTACTTTATTAATTTTAGAATGTATTTTGTTAGTCTAGTTCTATTTCTAAATTATAGACCTGCCCATGTTCTTATCGAAGAACCTCCAAGTCACCCTCATGCTTTTTAAATTTACATTTAAAAGAACTGTACAAAATGCTGCATTATTCCTAATCACTATTTAGAGATACAGAAACTAGCACAAAAGTCATTTGCCAAGGTCAGTTGCAAAGTTAGAGCCAGAACTAATTCCTCTCTCCCAGTCCCTGGTACAGTGATTTTCCAAGGAAGGCAAATGCTGACCTTGCCCCAGGGAGTGGAAACACCCAGAAAAGGTGGCAATAAAAATGTACTGCACCACCTGATGCTGAGGGAAAATCCCATCCTACCTGACAGCCTCCCCAGCAGCTGCCAGGATTACCAGGAGAGCTCTGAGACCACAACAGTGGCATGTCCCAAGCATGGGACAGGCAGCAGAGGCTCCCGCTGGCTTTGGCTGAGATTACAGCCAGCCAGTAAATCTTCTTTTCAAGTAAATACAGGGCTACAAACTGCTCAAAGCCTCTGTCTCTGAAAACTTCGCTCTGTAAATGCCAAAGGACATGGAGAGAATGGTTTTCCCCATGGATTGCTTCCAAGAAACATCTGTGTCATCTTAAATATATGTGCATGCATGATGGAAAACCTGGCTGCAATCCTGACCTGTACAGGCACTCAAACCTGGCAAACACCTCCCAGATAAAGAAAGGATAAAAAATAAACACTCTGGAAAATTTTCTAAGAAACTTGAGCATGTGATGAAGCAGAAAACAATGTACTTCATTGCCAACAGAGGTAAAATGTCCCCCAAAAAAACCCCCATTCAGACTCAAAGGGAAGGCTTTGCCAGCAGACACTGACAGGGGAAAAAAGGTGTCTCCAATAGGGATAACCCATGAGTCCTGCTCCCTGAGACCATGCACAGCAGCACAAGCATTAACATGCAGAAACCACAAAGGGATTTTGTAAAAAATACATCAATTTGGTACTTGCAAAACAAACAAACAAAAAGTCTCTAGTTACAATGGCAAAACTACAAATTTACTTTACTGAACACATAAATAAAGCCATTTTGAAACATGGCCTTTTAGGTGGTCCAGCTGTGACAGATGCAGCACATTGAACCAGAAATCATGTTTGTACAGAAAAAGCAGAAAAAACACTAATTTGATGTATGTACAATAAAAGGCAGTGATATCAGCAGATATTGCACCAGCAATTTTTCTGTGCATCCTTCCCCTATTTTCTAGATGTGATTTTTTTAGGTCTGGTTTTGCTTTCAGCCATCAAAGCCTCACAGCAGTAACAACATGACAAACTTTTCTATGAAGATACTCACATTAGTAACAAGTATCTTGAGCCAGTCCTCCAGACATGGTCCCATGCTCAAGACAGTTTAAAGCAAAGCCTGTTAAAGGGTTTGCTTTTATGAGTTTCTTTTAACTATAACTGGGTGTGATTTAAAGAACATTTTGTACAAATATAGCTGTTTGCAAATTGGGACCTACTGATTAAAATTTTAAACTGTATTATAAACTGGTATTTTAAACTGCATTATAAACTGGTATTTTAAACTGTATTATAAACTGGTCATTATAATATATTTTTGCAATTTGGTCACAGAGCTCAATGCTGAAATTATATCTATAGGTATCCAGTGTGAGGTTCAACACCTTTTATGTATTAATATTGTTGAAGTGAGCATCAGTGCACACTGCAGCTCATCAGCCCCTCTGCAGAAGGAAAGACATGGAGGTCAGTGCTAGGGCTTCCAAGTCTCAATTTCTTGACAAAGACCTAAGAGGAGAACTTCAGATGGAATCATAATAAAATTCAAGGAAATCTGCAGTCATTGGCTTGCTTAAGCAAAAGATTCACATTCCTGTAATTATTAGCCACCATCCTGGGCTTTGCTTCTTTGCATTGGCAAGTACTGGTAAAGCTCAAAGGGTTTTATTCAGTTTTATTCAGTTCTAGCAAAACAAAAACAGAAATAAAAAGCAACAGGGGACTTGCTGGAATAAAACCAGCCTCAGAAGGTGCCATTCTCAACCTCCTTAGGCTAACAGGAGTATTGCCATTATCTACAAAGAGTTTAATTTAATTTGAAAACTTTAAGGTCAAAATGAACCATTATCTTCACTGGTTTTGCCCGCGGAAAAATCAATTTAATGATTACTCTCTCTGTTCAAGACAGAACTTTTAATAAAATCAGCACAGCCCTCCTGCTTTGATGGACATTTTGAGGCTGACCAGTCCCCAAATCCCCCTGCCCGTGGAATGCAAAAGCACAATCTACAGTATTCTCAGTCAAGAGTAAGTATTTAAGTATTTATCACTTAGTACCCCTCTTAATTAAATATTTAAAGGATTGGAAAGTCTACAGCTTATTATACAGTTTTATAAAAATGTACTTACCAATGCCTGCACCTCTACAGTTGCCGTTATTGGAATCCATAGGGAAATCTGGCATGGATTTGTAAAATATGTGAAGAAATGTTAGTATTTTTAATATTGGACTATTTCACTACACATACATCACAATGTTTTCTCTTTCTCTAATATTTAGTATGTGGAAACTTAATAACTTGACTAATAAACAGTTAGCAATATTCTAGAGGTCAGACCAGTAAAGGTGACACAACGTCTTACCCAAATTTCACCTGAACCCAGCATGTCATGTTAAATGCTGAAGCAGGCTAAATATCCCATTTCCATTGCTACAGACTGGCAGGTTTCAGACAAGGGTTGACATTTATGCCATGAATTTTGATCACCTACAGAAAACACATGTAGTGTTTGCATTTAATTAGATGATGAAGGAGAAATTACTTTTGGGGATTTTTTTTGGTTACTGAGGAAATCAAATCAAATCAACCAACCATAATCACACTGTTGAAGCAAATGCCAAAATAAATGTTTCAGACCTTCCCCTCAGTTTAAAAACACACTGATTACTCTGAAGGACAGATAAGGAACAGAAGTTTAAAAAGGCACCATGCCCAAAGAACTGCTTTTCATACATTTCAGACACATTCATAAGTGGACTGTGTCCCACATTAGTAAAGTGCATCATTTCAAACCTATTTATTAAATCACACAATTTAATGGGTTTATACATATATTTAATCATGAAAAACAAGTATATTAATGCATATAACTTTGAATGAGCTAAGGACAAAATAAATGCAAGAGGAACAAGAACTGGGAGAGAGGCAGGGCACTTTATTAGAATGGCACATAAAATGGAAAAACAAATCAGCTTTCAAAGAAAAAGCCCTTCTGTAATTTGGCACATTTATTCATTTATTCTGCTCTTCCAATTCTGGAATCTGGTATCCTACAATCAACTTAGATTCCTACATAATCATGGAGGCAATGCAGCTGCCTTTGCAATGTAGAACACATGCAACAATGCTGCCTTGTAAGAAGTCAGACTATCCAAGCTGATTCCTACTTACATGTTTGATTCTGATTATTCACCTGAGTTATTCTCAGTGCATTAAGAATGTATTTTGTATTGCATCAAATGCATTCTGGTATTCCAGGATGTGATGGAAGAGGAATTGAAATGGCTTCCCTCTTGCAAATGGTAAATAAAAGGACAACCACACTTCTCATTCTTCCCCTCCTGGGTCAATGATCTGTTGTCTTGTCCATTCAGCCAAGCTGCAGCTTTAAATCCACAATTCCTTCTGATGTGGTAAAAGCACAGAGAGAGGTCTATGGTGTGACAATCCTCTCATCTGCTCCAAGTACAGACAAAACATCTGCAAGAACCCTCCAGCCACAGAGGCCTCTCTGTCTACCTAGGGCTGGCCTCAGAAGTTTCCCCATTCTGGGCACCCAAACCCCTGCAGAGAAAGCTCTCCAGACTCCCTGCCCCTCTCACTCAGCTGCCTTGGACACCTTCTCAGGTGTTCTCAAAGGCTAGCTGCACATGACCAAGCCAACTCCTCTGGTTTCTCAGGTGGCCCAGCAAGCTGAAATTCCTACCAAAACGGGTATTTCAGGCATGGTTTGTTCATAGCTTCAAAGCACATTCCCCATTCTACCAAAATTGTTACTGGGGACAGAAAAAAATTTTATGACAGAGAAGACAAGAGAAGTGTCACATTATATATTTACCATCTCCCATCCACAGAAGGAAAAAGAAGCCCTGAAATCCACTGTTCCTACCTAAACCAAGGATGGATCCACAAGCAGGCATGACTTCATGGTGCTTGAGCAAACCCAGTCCAATCCACACTGAAATTACACCTCAAAATAAACCAGAGCCCAGTAAAGAGTTCACAGCCTCCCCTGGCCCATTTGGGGGATTTTAAATGGCTTTTTCCCCCTCCCTCTGTATAATGTCCATGGGTGCTGGCTGAGGAACTGTCCTTGGAGCTTACACCAACACAAGGAGAACCAGTGAGCTTGGTATGGGCAGTATAAACATGCCAACAAGCATGGAACTGACCTGCTTTGCACCAGATGTTCCCACACTCTTGGCTACACAACTTATTCTTAACCAAATTCCAGCACACCACGGCCTCGAGGTATCTCCTAACTCTGCACTGCCAGGTCACCTTTCCCACCCCAAACCAGCAATTCCCAGTGAACGAGCTGTGTGTGCAGCCAGAGGAATCCAGACAGCGTGTGCAGGGTGGAAGTGCCTCCTGCTTGTGTGCCTGCACTCAGCAGCAGGGCAGCCTGGTGTCAGGCATGGGTGAGCAGAGCAGGGGTGAACAGGTACCCATCCATCAGCTCAGAGCTCACTTCTGGACTTGGGAGGGCTTGGGCCAGGCAAGTGCTGACCTGCCTTGATGGTCATCCTCTCCAATGCTCTCATGCCTACTCAGGGATGACAGGTTTCTACAGATGGACAGGAGCACAGGCTTGTGGAGGGGATTCCAATGCTCTCATGCCTACTCAGGGTTTCTACAGATGGACAGGAGCACAGGCTTGTGGAGGGGACTGGAGACCTCTGCCACCCATGACACCTCTCTGGAAACCCTTCTCATTTCTCTGGCCCTCTCCCCAGTTAAGCTCACACAGTCTGGTCCCTGCTTACCTACCAGAAAGGAGACTGGAAGAGGGTCCAGCCCAGGCCTGCCAGCAGCCACTCGTCAGGTCTCAGGTGTGGAACAGAAGTGGAACAATAGGAAGTCAGTGGTTTGGGGGAGCAGCCACCCAGCCCCTGTGAAATGCAGCCCCTGTCCCCAGCAGCCTGATGGACACAGGCTCCACCAAGCCGAGACCTTCAGCTGCAACACAGGCAGAGGGAGGGGAAAAAAGCCATTTAAAATCCCCCAAACAACTGACTTCCTATTGTTCCTCTTCACAGGCAAAGCCTCTGCCAAGTCCTGTCTATGCAAAGCTATCTTCCTGAAATAAATACCTGTCAGTGATGGCTAGCTGGATTGCCAAAGAGAATACTGTCCAGAGGTCCAATCCAAAAGTTTCCTATTAAATTTTGTTTAGGAGCAGGGGACAAATCCAAACTGTTTTTTTCCAATACACCATCCTAATAAATTGCTTTTCAGAGGGTTTCTACATAAAATAAAGACCAAAACACAACACTAACAAGGAGAGCTAAATAAAAGCCACTTACACAGTAAGAGGGCAAAATAACAGTGCCTGCAATCACAGATTTAGATGAGGGGTTTGGAACAGAGAAACAACTTGGTAATACCTAGTTTTCAGCAAACATCTTTCCTATACCACTGTTTAAATAAATAAAAATGTTAAAAGGCAGAGAAAGGCAAAAAATAACATGATCCTGATTGTCATTATGATTAAAGAATATGGCCCAGCTATTACTGAAGCCACTCCAGGCACTGTGCTCCAAAGAACTGAGCTATAGCCAATGGCTGCTGCTTGGGTACCTTCTTCAGATTGAGACATCTGTGAGCCCCATTAATTAAGAAACCCTTCCACAGTGCATGAATTCACTGTCATTCACTTCAGCTATTAATACAGAGAGAATCTTTGCTAAGTGGGTTGCAAAAACATGCGCGGAAAAGGCAAGTGATAGGAAAATTTATTCTAGTTAACATTTAATACAAAGAACTCAAACTCCAAGTGGTAGAGCAGCCAGCAACATGGCTGTTCCACATAACATTTTATTACTCATAACAAATCCCACCAGGTTTTGATGACATTTAATGGCCCAGGTATTGACTAAATGCTTAGAGTGTAAAATCCAGGGGACTCAGCCTCCAAAGGCAGCTGAACTGTAGTGAGCCTAACACCATTGGTGCTATCCTCAATACTAAGATTTAAATTTACTTATTTGTTTCTCCTGCCCTGTTTCAGGCTTGAAGCTTGTAATAATTTTGTTATTTAACTGAGAAATGAGGCTGCTCCCAGGCTTCAGGCAAAGACAAATCCCAACTTTATAAATGATAACCCGGGCACAAATGCTCACCCTCAGCATGGTCTGTAGCACTCCCCCAGCACTGTCATGCACATCAGCTGCTCTAAGCAGAGCTAGGCAAAGAGTCAGAACAAATTTGATCTGGAGCTTGGAAACCACTGTTTTGGAAATTAAGTTAATACATAAGAAACAAGAAAGAGAAATGGCTTGTTCTCTTGCCTTTTAAGCCTGCAATGCCAAATTAACATCCTGGGTTACTATGAATTCATCCAGACAGACATGGAGAACTTGGGCAACATGGAGAAATCATGGGTTCACATATGATTTAAGAAAATAGGTGTCCATCATGTGAATAACCTATAATTTTCTTTAATGTTTACGAGATTTTTTTAAAAAAAAATTTTCAAAGTTCTTCTTAGACACCTCATTATAGTTTGGGTGTTAACTACACATGGTTGATACCCTGTGATGTGGCTTCCCTTTTCTCCAACTTCTTATTAACAGGCCAACACGCCTTCAAGCTGTGTTCTTATCTGAGTAAGATAAGGTGAGACAACCTGCCTGACAGATCTGACTTCCAATACACACAGTACCCATGACACTGCTCTGGTTTTTTTGCTAGTTCCCTCTTCAAAACAGGAATAAACACATCACTTGAGACATAAACACTCTGCTAGGCAGTAGCAGCCACATGGAAGATGCTTTTTTAGTCAGCATCCCAATGCCAACACTTATTACCTGCAAAACTAAAGGTCCTGCCTGTGGAATTCTAGATTTGAGACAATTTTCTCTCTCAGCAGTTCCTGCTGCTTCACGGACCTAAGGAAGTTTGACAGAGCCCTGAATGAGGGAAGAAGATAATCTGATAGACTAGAGGAAGAACGAGCATATGCATATGAAATATATGGAGCAAGTGAACAGGACCTCCCAGAGATGTAACACAGCTTGTACTAATGTCAGCACACAGAACCACTTGCAGCTCCAAAAAGCCCAGGACAGGGATGTGGGATAAATGCCATAGGAGACTTCAGACATTAGCATGCACTAATCTGACACCTGGGGTGTTAATGCATTGTCAAGATGCTGCTTCATTCTCCATCATGGATGATGATTTGTTGGATCCTGCACAAAAAGCCCAATTATTCAGCATCACACTTGCCTCCCGAACACCCACACCATGCCTGCAGCATCCCTCTGCTTTCTGGCTGTGAAGGAACCCAGATGTTTCCCAAAGAGAATGAAAAATCAAGAGACATACACTTCCCACATGTTTGAAGTCAGTCTTTGTAACTTGAGGAACCTCCCAATCAGCACTCCCACTCAGGTTTTGGAGACCAGCACAAGCCCAGGGGGTGTGCACAGCTATTCCTCTAACTGAGCCCAAACCACAGCACTGTTGTCAGCTTTCTCCATCACAGACAAAGCAGCAGCTGCTTCACCAGGCCAGCAGCCCCTTGGTGCTGTGACAGGAGGTGGCTGGATCTTCCTCACACCTGGACTCAAATGGACACAGGTCCTAGAAGATGTCTGTGGTGGACTGTGCCTCAACAGCTGAAAGTGAGATTTATCTTACTGAGATTTATCACAGATTTTACCAACCACAGTCCCTCCATACTTTGCAACAGTCACAGGCTACTGGGATGCAGGGAATATAGCTGATGGAAACTGGGCTTGTGAACCCAGTCCCTGCTCTGACAAGGGCAAACACTGACTGCATCATCCTTAAGGTTCTCTCATGGAAGGGGCAAGACAAATGTGTAATGTTTACCAGCAATAATGCAAAAACCTCAAGAGGAAAGGAAAGAGTAGAACCCTGTTACAGGTAACCAAAGAATGAAAGCAAAAACAAGATTTCACTTCTGAAGAAAACAAAAAAGCCCCTTCTACAAGAGAAAGCCACAAAACAATGGATTATATTTCTGCCCACTCTATTAGATGTAGATTACAGACAGCAGAAGGGGCTAGAATGCTTAGGAGATAAATTAAAGCAAATAAGAGCAGCGATTCTGCACGGTACTCATCAGGCAGTTGGTTATTTGTGTCTTCTACTGAGCTGCAATCCTTTATTTGGAGAATTGGATTTGAAAGTGTTCACCTTACCTCTTCCTAGAACAGGAATCCTTCCCTCTGCTTTCTAAAAGAACAGTTTTATTCCCTCAAGAAGGATTCTTTCAGTCTGGTGCATAATGCATCAGTTCAAAATATTCAGCCCAGAAATGAGAATGTCATCAGGTTCTCATTCAGTGAAAGAGAGTTTTCATGGATCTGGCCCTGGAATCCCTCAAAGAGGTTATTGTACTGCTGAGGTCCTCAGAAATAGGTAACTCGGGGGCGATTTCAGCCAAGCTTCCTCCCTCCAGATTTGAATGTGATTGCTTTCAAATCGCTGCAGACCTGCCAAACCTTGCTCATGCTGGAGCCATTTTTAAGGTGGTTTTGAAAGCACCTCAATGCTGCAGAGAAAGGTGCTTGGTGTTCAAAACCAGATCTCCCCAAAACTACCCCAACAGGACTGCAGCACTCAAGAGAGCAGCAGCTGATGGCAAAAATAGATGGTTACGTTCATGGGCTGGGGAAAAAAGTAGGAAAAGGCAAGAGGGAAGCAGCTAGAAGTTAGAAATAGCAGTAATGACTGGAGATATGAGGGTGTGGAGGTTTCAAGTGGTGCAGAGGGTAAGAGAATAGAGTCACAGATGGAGTAGGGTTTGTCTGGCCTGTAAATAAATGGAGACAGAGAGAGCAGCTTACCTGGGAAGGCTGAGCTGGGGAGCACGGTCAGGAAACTGAAGCGTGATATTTTGTTAGGAGAAGAAAACAGGAATTACAGCATTTGGCATTACTGGCAGTGGGATACATAAAGCATTTAGTAGTGGGACAGAAGCACAGTAAAATACTGTGCTGAGCACAGCATGAAAAGTCCCCCTTTCATTGCCAGGCCACAGCTGGAGGAGGACAGAGAGGTGAGATCTACTGCCTGTCAGTGAGCTCCCAAAACCCAGCACTGCAGCTGTGGGCACTGAAGGAGACAGGTAGCAGCACAACAAGCTCGTGGGGTGCATGGGTGCTGCTCTGCTCTGACCCCGCTGGTCTGCTCTCCAAGTCCTCTGATGGAGAGGTCTGGCAGAGCCACCAGCACTTTGCATCAAAGAAAATGGTAGCCTGGTCCCACCAGCAGCAAATGCTTTCCTGAGAATGCACAGGAACTGCAGTCACTTTGTAAAAGGTCAGAGCTCACTCGTGATAACCACCCACCAGCTTGCTTTAATTTCCTGCTCAATAGTCCCTTGTATTCAATATCTCTGTGGTGCTCAGCTCACCACACTGGAGGGGTGTCCTGCCAACTCCCAAAGGCAGCTGTGACAAGAGCAGGGTCCCCGAGCCACAGCAGGTTTGTAGCATGGTCTGAGCAGCCAGCAGTCCTCACCTGACCGTGCAGAGATGCTCCTGCCCCCGTAGTGCTGCATGGCAGCCAGCACCAGCCATGCTGTGGGACCACAGTGAGCTCAGCTGGTGGAACAGGAGGCACAGGTAGAGCTGAGCAGCTCCAGCAGCCCCTGCGAGGCCACAGTGGTCACACGGCATCAGGGCTCGGCTGCAGGACGCAGCGTTTGGCTGGCTTCAGGGATGTGGGGAACAAAACACAACGGAAGGCTGCACCTTGCTACACTCCTCACCTGGAAACAGCTCTAGAGCCCAGGGACCTGCTGGGGAACCCTTCGGTGCTAACCACTGAGACGAGCATGTTCTCTCCCTCCAGGTGTGCATAGAAAGCGGCTGGGGAGACGCCGGCCCCCCAGCTCTGCCTGGGGCTCCTCTGGGCACTGACCTTTCCCCAAATCTCTGGAGTGGCGGCCTTGTGCGGGAAAGGGAGCAACCTGCTTTGGGAGGGAGCGGCTGGGGATGAGCACCGAGGAGCGGGGGGAGAGGGGGAGCCAGCAGCCTGGGGGCTGCCCCTCACTGGGGCGGCTCTTCGCTCTCTGCCCGCCGATGGATCCCCGGAGAGCGGTGCGGAAACGCTCCCCGTTCGTGTGGAACGGGAGCCGCAGCTCCCACGCTCGTACGCGCTCCCCGGAACGGCGGCGGGGCTGTCACTTGTCACACACACTCTGTGCCCGACAAACTTTTCCAGCTGCCGCAGGCAGAGCAAAGACAGCAGAGGAGCGGAGGGCGAGAAGCCGAGAGCGGCGTGAGGGGAGGCAGCGCTGCCGGGCTGCGCTCGCCGCCCATTGTCCCCGCGCTCCCCGCGCACTCACCCGCGCCCTCGGCGGTCACGATGGCCTCGGGGGAGATGCAGACGCCGCGGTCGTAGACGGGCAGCTCGTCGCAGGCCAGGCTGTCGGGCCAGGCGTGGCTGTAGCGGAGCAGGACGGGCTCGCAGCCGGCGCGGGCGCGCTCGCACACGGACTTGCAGGGCTTGATGGGCTCGTGCTGGAAGTCGATGGTGCAGATGGGCGCGTACATGGCGCAGAGGAAGAACAGCAGGTCGGGGCTGCAGTTGGTGCCCAGCAGCCCCTCGAACTGCTCCATGGCCAGCACGGCGTTGGCCTGCGTGCTGTGGTGCAGGTGGTTCGGCATCTTGGTCATGTTCCAGGGCAGCGGCTTGCAGAGCGGGATGCGCACCGGCTCGCAGGCCGCCCCCCGGCCCGCCGGCGCCCGCCCCAGCAGCAGCAGCCCGGCCAGGGCCAGCACCGGCAGCCCCCGCCACATGCCGCCCGCCCCG